AAGCCAGCTGGTTTATCTCTGCTGATCTTATCTGCCCCCCCCCCGCCCCCTGCTTTTGGCACTGTATCATGATTATTTATTTATTGTACTGAATTTGTTTGAGAGCTGTCCTTTAGCATCACATTGCCTGGGCAGATGTCACAATAAAAATACCAATAAAATAAAATTATATGAACTATTATAGTTATATAATAACTATATAGTTATGGTTATTGTAGTTAACATAATAAACAAGATAAAATCAAGATAAATTCACAGTATACAAAGTTAAATACAAATAAAAATAAATAAGACAGAAATTAGTATATTAGAACCAGTGCAATTGGTCTGAAAGATCTAATTAGTACCATAGGTGCACGGAAAAAAAGTGGTTTTTTTAGGGACCTGAAACTCAACAAAGTAGGAACCTGGCAAATTTCAGAAGGTAGAGGATGAAATGATGGGATATCACAATAAAGTTGTTGAAAACTAAAAGCAGTGGATGCCTTTGTACACTTCTCTAAGCTCCTCGTGGAATGGACAGAATAAAGTGGTAATAATAATAAAATAACTGGGAACTTCCTAGCTCATATTCTTGCCTCCTATGCGAGCTAAACCCATTACTTTTAATAGGTGTGTGATGCTACCAGGATGTTCCTCCCCTCCTGCCCCCAAATAACATACATATACTGTTTTGAAACAAATAATGTGTAATGAATAGTTGCAGAAAAATATGGTATTTGTCACAGACTGAGATCTTTTAGAAATCCTAACTAAATGTTTGTTGCAGGACTAGCTACAAATGTAAATTCCTGCATTATTTGGGTGGGAGTACCATTACTGAACGAACATGGAACCAATGTGTGAGACATTTTAATGAAGAGGATACCATCAAGTTATTCCCCTACAACAAGCAGGGTTGATTCTCAACCCATCCAGTATATTCAGCACAGAATGTATTAGCTCTGAGATCTTTTGATTGGAGACTCTGAGAACTGAACTTGCAGACCGTGTGGCTCAACCACTTTATGGGAAGTCCTCATTAAAGAGAAGAGCTTCCTTGCTCATTTTAGCCTTTAATATGAAATTCAGATTAGCTATCTAATCCTTCTAGAAACAGGTTTACAGCATAATCGCCAGCAGAGCAGCCAGTTATCAAATATAATCATAGACAGCCGTGGCAGGATTTTGCAGAATTTCCAGCAGCCAGGACTTCCGACTACTGAGATTAATAGATTGCGCAGAAACCAGTCAAACTCACATCCCTCTGCAAGGCTATTTTTACCCGTGGGCATTACCTTTTTGCGCGTGCCAAATTCCCCGTTTGTTTACATGGAACCTGCATTTAACAAGTCCTTTCTCCCATTTCAGTTCTCAGTGCTGCTTCCAAAGATCTTATTTGTCCTTTGCAATTCTTACCAGTAGCAGAGGTAAGAAATCCTGTCTTGGAACGCAGCGGAACACTCTAGCTGACGGGGTCTATCAAGCTTCTAGCACTTTTTAAATGCTCGAGTGCAAAGTCTGCCAGCAAAGCAAGGCTGGCAACTGGTGAAGAGAGAGAAGGCATCAGCACCAAGAACAGTTCCAAAAAGCAGCAGTTTTGTGTGTTACTGTATGAAAGCAGGCTTCCCCCAACCCGGTGGACTTCAGCTCCTATCATTCTCAGCCAGCTAACTTGGAATGATGGGAGCTGTAGTCCAACACTTATGAACTGCACCAGGCAAAGGAAGCCTGGAAACAAGAAATGCAGCCCTCCCACCCGCACAAGCATGCGCGCGCGCGCGCGCACACACACACACACACACACACAGACTTTTACTACTGATGCAGTTTAGCTAAGAAACAGCCATGTGTCCATATGAACTTTATTTTTACCTATTTTTAAACATGTCACACAAATACATGATATTCCCACTTTGTCTAAATGTCTGCTTATCTAAATATTTAGGGTGAAATCAGTCCATTCTATTTCTCTGTCCACGGCCTGCCTCCTAGAAGTTAATATTTCCTGTTCAGAGAAAATACATATCTACTTGTAGCCCAAAACCTACAATTGTTAGTTGGGAGAACAGCCAAAACAGGGGAAATATCCTGAGTTTTGTGGGGCAAAATGGATGGAGGTGTTTCGACTATTTAGGAAAAACCTCTCTAAGTAAGTTATTTAAATAAGGTCAGCCAAAAGAAGCTACAGGCAGTTCCCAGGTTAGAGACAAGGTCTTTGACACAAATTTGTATATAAGTCAGGCCATGTATAGTTGACTCTCTGCAGTCATGGAGGCTGGGGATGCAGGAACCCAATGAAAGTGGAAAACCTGTGACTATCTCTAGGTCCCTCCCCTTGCCCAAAGTCTCCAGCCTCTTTGCAGAAAGGAAATGCTGGGGAGATGGGCAGGGTAGGAAGGTATGCTTTGGAGGTCTCCCTCTCCCCCCTTTCACTTCCTCTATCTCTATGGTCAAGGCCCTCCCCTCTCTCCCCTTTTGCCTCTCCTCTCTCTATGATGATGACGATTCTCCACAGTAATCTTTTTTAAACCAATAGGCTCCATGGCAGTTTGTTTGTAGGTATGGCTTGTTTGTAACTCAAACGTTTCTCACCCAGGGACTGCCTGTAACACTCTGCTACACAGTTGTTATGTGTGTGAGTTAAGGTAATTTGTAATCATCATCCACACTTTGGATGATTCACAGGAGAGCTTTTGAGAACGGATGGACCATGGCGGGCGGGCAGGCCTGCTGCTTTTCAATTCTGCTTGGACCAGAACGACAGACATTCTACCGCATGTCACTGCGCAGAGCACACCCTCCAGAAACCTAACCTCAGAAGAGATGTGGCAGCCTTCCCCAACCTGGCGCCCTCCAAATGTTTTGGACCACAATTCCCAGTATTCCTGACCACTGTCCATGCCACCTGAGGCTGATGGAAGTTGAAATCTAAGACATCCAGAGGGCACCAATTGGAAAAGAATGGGATATGGCTTTGACTTTCAAAATGCATCTCAACACAAATCATTTGCATCTCTTAAATTTCCGTATCTCTTTTACTTGCTTTGAAGCTGATTACCTACCCCAGTTTGGGATATACAAAATCTCCTTTTTTTCCCTCTGATAATCAAGACACCTGTCATATTAAAAACTAGAATTGGTAGGGGGAGGTGAAATGTAAGTTCCAAGCTAAGTATTATTTTTTAATATGGGGTGTTGTTGGGGAGACTTGTTTCTTCTTCTTAAAATGTTCTTTGCTTTCTCATACTGCCATCTAGTGGGAAATTCATGAGACAGGAGACAAACAGTCAAGACAAATCAAATCGTAATCTTTGTTTCACTTTGTTGTGAAATTTATTTTGTTATACTCTTTGAAGTTATCTCTAGGGTTCTGAGTTTAAGTTTGATTTTCTTTGCCCCAGTAAACATACAATGCAACTTTAATTAGGACTGTACCTGTTTTAAGGGGCTGGAAGCCATTTCCTGTTCTCTACCTACTGGATTTTGTTTTTCTTTCATTCTAGATGCAACCTGTTGGCTGTTTCCAAGGATTGTTGTGCTTCTCTTGCACAGGTGGTGGGAGAGGAGGCAACTAACCCTCAAAGCCTTCCCACAAAGCAATCTGAACAAAAGAATTAAAGACAATGCTGCAATGACTTGGCAAGACCTTCCTCAACCAGGATCTTGAGTGAAACAGAAAGAAGCTGTTTCTTTTCCCTCCATGTTCCAAGCAATGCTGATTTCTGTTTATTTGTGACTTCTGTCATCAAAAGTTTATTTGTGACTTCAGCAGTGGATCTAACAGAAATTTCAGAAGAAACAATACTTAGAAATCAGTCTTCTGCATGGATGGAGCAAAAGAGCCTGAGAACTGAAGTACTGCAGCTCTCTGCCTCCTTCCAACTTTTATAACACCAAGCAAATAGGCCAAAACCTTCCTGGAGAAGGACAAGCATGCTAACAGGTCCTCCCCCAAAGCGAAGCAAAGCACGGGTAACCAACCGACCCAACTCTCCTCCTTACAGAGGAACTAGCCACCCAAGATGATGTCAACTGCTCCCTTGGCACCTTCAACCCCAGTTGCCTGCAAGTGCCCTGGATGAGTCACGCGTTACTAAGGCAATATGCAAATCCAAACGGGTTGAATCCCTTCCAACAGCAGGAAAGGAAGGAAGGAAAGAACGGAGGAGTTGGGAGGAGGCATGAGAAGAGAAAGAAAAATGTTTGCTCAAATTTACATCTCAGTACCCTCCTGAAGCTTAATATAAGCGTCTAAGGACTGTTTTGTTTCTTGCTAGTTTGAAAAATACGGCTGGAGTTGCGAAAGGGTTCAAGTGGAAAGGATGGGAAAGTTCCCATTGAAGAATTGCAGGATTTCTTTCTAAACTATTGATTCTTACAGTCCGATCCTAGGCATAATTATCTCGATGGAAGCGCGCCTGAGTTCAATAGGACTTGCAGCTACGGAGCAGGCATGCGCAGGGATTATCTAAGTCTCCCCCAAACGGAAGTTAAGTTCAGATCGATGGGATTTGTGTCCAACTAAGGCGGGCTGGAAACGAGATGCGCACGCCTTCGCGCCCCAGCGAAGGAGAGCGAGAGACGGAGTTTCCCTTGCGAGGCTCCGCAGCGGAATTAAAAACAGCATGGCCTTGGCAATCAGGGACAGGGGTGGAGGCAAAGCAGGAGCGGGGGGGGGGGGTAAGCGGGAAAGACTTCAGTCCGGCGCCCCCCAACCGCCCCTCCCACGAGCCATTCTCCGGACTTGGGCTGCACCGCTTCATGACTTCTTCCCCGAATCTCCCTCGCCACACACACGGTCACTTTGAGAGACTCCCCGGGCAGGCGCGCAGCACAAACGCCTCCGCGGGCAGAACTGCAAACAGGGACGGGCCGAAAGGACCAGAAAAGCAGGCAAAACAACGCGCGACCCGCCCAACTCTCTGGAGGAAAGGACGAGCGGCATGGAGCGAGACGCAGCCTCAACCCCGCAGCACCCCGGTCACCCGACCCCAGGCAGGCAGGCAGGGCTGGCTTACGTCTTCCTCCTCGCAGTCGCTCCTCCTCGCCTGGTACTGGAAGCGAGGTCTCGGGTGGGCTGCTGGCGACGGGCGCGAGGCTTTCCCTCCGCCGCCGCCGCCGCCGCCAGCCGCCTCGCTGGCCGCCGCCGCCGCCGCTGCGGAGCCGTCCTCCTCGGCGCATTGGGGGCCCAGGAGATGGCTCGCCTCGGGGGTGATGGGGAAGGACCTGGAAGTGTTGATCTTCCCGCCGAAGCGCTGATACAAGGAAGCCATGCAGGCAATCCAGAGCGAGCCGGGCGGGAGGAGGGAGACGCGGGGGGGGGGCGGTCTGTTTGGCTTGCAGCGAGCGGCGCGCCGGCGGATCCAAAGGCTGGTCGCTTCCTCGGTCTCTCCGCTCGCCTCTGCTCGCCGCTGCCGCCGCGGCGAGTCAAAGCCTCCACGGCAACATACCCGCGGGGCTGGCGAGGGGCGCGCGCGCTCGCTCGCTCGCTCGCTCTTCCCTCGACAGCGCGAGGAGGAGGAGGAGGAGGAGGAGGAGAGGGGGCGAAGAGGAGAGAGTCGAGGGCATCACCCGGAGGCGCGCCGCGGCGCCCCGCCAAGCAGCCCCCTCCTCCCCTGTCTGGGGGCGCCGCACGATGCGAAGGGAGCCCGCTTCTCTCGCCTCTCTAGGAAAGCGGTCCCCAGATGGCGGCGCCGGAGCGCAGCGGAATTAAAGGGGGGCGGGCGGGGGGCAGGAAGGAAGGGGGCTCGGCTCGTTCGCCCAGCGCCTCCCGGGGCGACGGAGCTCCTTTTCCCGCGGTCTCATGGCAGCGGCGCACGGGCCAGAGAACGAAAGCAGGGAAGGGACGGAGGGACCGCGTGTCTGTGCGCGCGCTGGGGGTGTGTTGTGTGTGCAATCCGGCTGCGAGAGCGGCGGGAGGGGGGGGCAGGAACACGGCGAGGAAGACCTCATGCAAAGCACGTTGCTCATCAAGGACCAGGAGGGACAGGAAGGAGCGGGAGGCTGCGCCGCCTCCGTCGTGTTTCCCCCAGGGAGAAAAAGGCTTGCGGCGGGGTAGGGGAAGAGGGGTGGATTCTCCCTCCCTCCGGAAAACTTGAGATACCAGACGGGAGGATGGGCGCCGATCTCCAGTCGCTGCCGGAGGGCGGGCAGTAGGCTTAAAATGCACGGTTCCCGCGGGGAGTTGGGGGGGGGGAATAGACCGAGCCGGGGAGGAACCGGCCACACACGTAGCGCCCGGCTTGCTCGCGAGCTGCCGCCGCCTGTCCTCCGGTTTCCAGCGGGAAAAGATTCGCTTCTCCTTCCTCTTTCTAGCACGACCCGCAAAGCAGGTTCTTTAGTGAGGGGCGGACAAGAGAGAGAGGTGACTTGTCCTCCAGCCGCCTCGTATCTCTGCTCTCCTCTGTCACCCCCTCAGTTCCCATTTCGCACTTCTCCCCCCGCCCCCCCCCGCCGCCTCCTGCTCTCCCTGGCTTGTCTAATCAGCCAAATTGCCTCGTAATATTTCGCTCTTAATTCATTTTGCTGCAGTAAAACGTGCTCCAGCGCCCCTGTGTGGAAACACGCGCGCACTGTTCCTCGGCGAGTGCGCCTCTGGAAGAGACAAAGCGAGATCTGGGCGCGCGGGGAGCCCCAAGGCCGCTGCCTGGCCAGAAAGGGAACTGCAGAGGCCCCGCGGCTCTCATTGGTTGCCCTGCTGTGACGTTGCCCCCAACCAGGGAAGTTCGGGCTTCCTGTAGGAGCAACCTGAGCGCGTCCCCATAGAATCCCTTTTACGCTAATAAATGGAGGCACGCGCCCAGGGGATGGACGGAATCCTTTGACGGGAAAGGTTGCACTTCCAGCCTCCCCCCTTCTCAGGCTGCCGGTCTCCATAGCAACGGATGTTTAGGATTTTAAAAAAAACATCAGACGACTCGAGAAAGCGAAACCATCGAAAGTCAATTTCACCTGCGCCCTGTTCGATCTTAGTCTGTGAATCGCTCCGCAAACACTGTTTATAGGGAACACGAAAACGCACAACTGGACCGCTAAGATTTCTATTTGCAAAGCACGCCAGTTCGCAGCCCCCCTCTCTCTCTTTCACCCTGAGAAAATTCCCCATTGTCTTTAGGGTATGCAAATCTGAAGGAAGGAGGGGTACTTCTCTTTTTTAAATAAAAAGAATGTCAGTTACATCCTCAGCTTTTTGAAGCCCTCTACATTTTATTTGTCAGTTCCTGTAAAAGTTCATCCCTGAAACGTCCAGTGATGGAGCATTTGTCTTTGCCCTCCCCCAAGAATTTTCATCTCCTGGGGTCTTCAAAGTCAGTGCTGAAAAGCCATAACATTTAGATGAAAAGGGGAGTGTCAGATTCTTGGAGTGGGGCAGCAACCCTGCGGGGCACACTTTCTTCCCTGCCTGGGGCTGACAAAAAGAGCCATCGTTTTGCTCGTGACATTTAATTAAAAGAAAGCTCAAAAGGGGATCCAGGATTCCCAGAAGTGCAACCTTTTGCATAAAGTCAGGCATTCCAGCAGATGATCTGAGACTCACCCTGCAATATCAGTGCAGCTTTCCACAGGCCAGTGGCCCAAAAGATGGATTCAGCCCTCTGCTACAAGCACGCTGGTGCAGAATTATCATTCTCTTCATTAAAAATAATTCTCTGATGAAGAAAGTGTTAGTTTAATGCTAGGAAATGAATTGCAAGCAGCAGCTTCTAGTCTTAACCAACTGGAGAGAGAAGCAATGGACATCAGAAAATCAAGAAACAAACCAAAACATGGGATTTTCTTTCCTTAAAAATGTTGATAGAGATATCCTAAGTATAACCAGAAAACATAGACAAAGGGAAATGTGGATATGAGAGACACACCTTTAAAATGACGCATTTCAATAAAAATGCTTAGCACATTTTCCACAGTGCTGCATCTTTACTTCTCAGCCCCTTTAGGGCATTCTTTCATGATTTTCTTAACAGAAGATCGCATGCTTGCTAGTTAGAAACTACTGAACAGCTATTAAACTGCAAGATTCGTTGCTGGACGCTTCAGAGAACAGAGAAACAGCCTTTACGCAAACAACCGAGACCACTTCAGCACAAGGAATGCTTAACCTGTTGGGCTGCCCACCCAAAAAATCAGCACCACGCTGCAGCTCAAATGCTGTCTGCAGAAAGAGAAGGATATTTTCTGTGTCTGATCTTTCAATCACTCCACCGAAGAGCAAACTCGTATGCCGAGTGCAGAGAGAAACGGAGCAGAAATGGAGGCACTGAGAAACCAGAGAGCAGTATCTCTGGTTGTAAGCCGCCCCGTGGCCTCAGCAAGGGGCGGCATAGAAATGTTTTAATTAATAAATAAATAAAATAAATATCTGGATGCTTGGGGGAAGCCTGAAGGAAAGGAAAAATTCTTCCTTCACTCATAATGGCCCAGGGAAGGATGCTCTGTGATCAGCGAATGTTGAGTATGGGTGGAGCAGGGGAGAGAGAAGACAAGGCTTAGAACCCCTGTGAAGAGTTGAAGGGTAGCACCACCTCTTGTTTCAGGTTTGACTTGCATCGCCCTGTTCGGTGCCAGGAGCAGAAATATCCACAGCCCTTTTCCCTGCTCTATGAGTCCTGCAGCATCCCTTGGTGGGGTTGTAGGTGCTTGTGATTTAATAGGAAGAGGGTGCTAATGGTGCTTTATAAGAGAAATTGGCAATGCCAGTCTCCATAGTCTCACAGAAGGAAGCTGGGTGCTCAGCCCTGCATGCTAGAGGTTTGGACAGAGTTTTACTCTCAAGTGACATTGTGGAAATACTTCAAAATAAAAGCTCACTGGTTTGGGACATGTTTTCTTCATACAACAATGCATACGAGCCTCTACCTGCACCTTTAAACTGCAGTAATCTTGTAAGCAAACCAAGGGTAGGAGAAGACCAGGCTGAGCGTACATCTGCAGGCCTCCTCGTTCCCCCCTGCCCCAAATCTGTTCTTTCCCCACTTTGCAATGCTCATTCACTGCTCAGTTGTGCACTGTGAGTGGATGGCTTATCAGAACAGGAGGTATGGTAATCATTTAATTAGAGCCTGGGACTGCCATAGTAATTCAGACCAATGGTCCATCTAGCTCCCTTTCCCTTTCTCAGACAGTGCCAAGTACAGAACGTTTCAGGGGAAATGCCAAAGCAGCCAGAGGCAATTACAGGATTCTAACCCTTGGCTGTCAAACACTTTCACTTGCTAGAGGGCTAGGCAAAGCCTCAGAGGAGAACAGAGTTCCCAAGTCCAGAATGCCTAATGAATCCTGGAGGACTTTCCTTTCCCAGGTAACTCAGAGCCGTTTGTCCGACAGATCAACTTTACAATAGGAGCGACTGACACAGAAACCAAACAATCCTGAGGGTGCCTGTAAAAGCTGGAGAGCAGCCCAGCCACTTTTCCTTGCTGAAATCGTCTCCCAGCGACTTGCACAAGAGCAGCCCTTGCTTGTACATAGTGTTGTCTTCGTATGTAAGTACAAATACTTCAATGTGGTGTACTAATATCTCAGTTCTATTGAAAGTGCAATTCCATGCAGGTTTAAAGGTCTATGGTCCCTCACAGATGACATACAAAACAGTATAGAAAATCTAACAAAATATGTATGTAATGCAATAAACAGTAAAAAGTAACACAGTAAAATAGAGCTGTGCCATAATCAGCCAGAAAACGTGTGAACCAATAATATTTCTGGAAGGTGCTTAAAAATCACATTTGCTGCCGCTTGAACCACATATTCTAGAAAATGGGGTGTCTCTACAGGGAAGGTCCATTTTCATGAAGATTTATTTACTGATCACTGACCGACCAAAACAAGGCTTCCCCTAAAAATCCCTAGCAGTGGCTGAGTGTAAAAGGAAGATGTCCACAGGTCCTGCTCGATGGCATAAGATAGCTGGAAGAAGATGGGAACACCTTGGTCTTGGCTCTGTGAATTGAGCAACCCTATAGCTTCCCCTTGATACTTTTTAACACGGGTGTCAGCCAGATCTTGTCCACAAGGTCCCCCAATTTGACTGTCCGCGGGCCATGCTTCCTTCTCCTAGTCTAACCCCCTGTCTGAAGTTCTTAAGGTTCTGGTATGTACATATGGGAAAAGGTAGTCTTGCTGGTAACTTGGTTCCAAGCCATTTAGGGCTTTAAAGGTTAAATACAGGATTTAATAGGGGCCCAGAAGATAGATAGATAGATTGATTGATTGATTGATTGATTTAGACATTTTAAGTAGATTGGAAGCCAGTGCAGCTGATGGAACCCAGCTG